CACTGAACTCCCGAAGTTAAGTTTACCGGATGCATGTGTCCTCACCTGGATTAAGTTTACTCTTGTTTGTCTGTTGACCGGGTCTACGGTCCTACCCGGGAGATACAAAAAAGCCCGGCGGTGGGAATAAATTCACTACACTGTAACCAATTAAAGCTTAGGGGGTCACTATACATAAGAAACATAATTGTTACTCCGGACTAAATACCGAGTAAAGCTTACTTTTTTCAGGCATAGCCTAACAACAGGTTTATTTTGAGAGTGTATCTACCAAAATATACTCCTCACCCAAATCAAAAAATTGATAAATATGATCCAATGTGATGTTCTCACCTCTATATTGGTCCTCCTCTTCTCTTTCTATGGAACCCATTACCCTCCCTCCCTACATTAAACTATCTGTCACCATTAACGACTTGTTGTGGCATACTCTGTCCAGAAATCATTGGTGGAGGCCTTGATTTATATGAACGGCTTAAAGGCTCTACGCATTCATATTAGTCGTCCCTCAGTAAATTGTCGTGAGTGGCCTCCCCACTTTTAAGCCTCCCGGACTCTAATCTTTTCTTTAAGTCTTTCGTATCGCTAATAGGTGACACAAAGAGTGTCCGCCGCTGTGTGCCAAAAATATAACAGCTAGGGCAGCATCTTACGTCTGTACAAACATACACTTCGTCTAATGTCTTTATATGTGTGAAAGTACCATCGTCCATTGATGCAAGGTACTATGGTTATTCCCCAAATCTCACGGTTGTTGTGACTCCCTTACCTTACCGGTACCTTCTGACACAAAAAAATAACTAAAAGCATATTTTCTTTGGTTTAATCTTGTCTTTTCTCTCTATTTCTTTTCGTGTCTCCTATAACTTTACAACTTTGTGTGGTTTATGGATCCCACTATCGAGTATAGAAAGGAGGACAAATTCCGACAAGCCAACAGAATGAATTGAAGGGAAGCATGAGTTAGGGAAGAATTCCGGTCTTCGAGACCTTGCTCACCTTGTTTTGGCTCCACCTACCTTGAAGTTTCATCCATTGTCCTGGTGAGTGTGTAGATCTCCTCCTCTGGACAAGTGAGTTGAGACGTTGTAGTTTTTCCACTCTGCGTTTTACCTCGGTTTTTGACTATGTCCCTAAAGGTTTATATAGAATATTGGTAACAGAGGAAAGTGCTGAATTTTCTGCTGTTAGCTGCTCGCCTTCTTTTTTGAATCAACGGACTTCTGCGTGCGTTAATTGGTGAATCTCATCCTAAGGCGGCACTGGAAAGGATAGAGATAGTTGAAGTGGATTCGGTGTCGTAAAATATCGGATTTGATATTTTCCTAGCATCGTTACACCAAGATGTCCCTAGACTATAATTCTTTGCGATATTAGGAACCACTTCACTCCGATGTGACGCCGTGTACCTTATGTCTTCATGTTTTGCCTACCTCCTTTATTTCCCTCTTCTAAGTCCACTATACCGCCTAGACTAGGATCCCTAAAATCATCTATCAGTGACCCGGAAGACACTCAGGAATATAAACAGGAAATAAGTGGCTCTTATCCATCTTCCGTGCGACATTCTTTCACGGCCGATTGGGGTCCATTATGATGAAAATAATTTCCGGTTTCCTATTGTGTAAGCCTTATTAGAGAGTTACTTCCGGTTATGCTATAAGGGTTAATCTCCGCATGTACCTGGTGTTATTCGTGTTGGTGTCTTTTCGTAATCCCTATCTAATAGTGGTAATAATGACGTTCCACAATTTACAATCCTACTAGTCCTCCTTATTAAGGAAGCTCCCTCTTACCTTCTCATCCCATCTCTCAAGAGCCAGTCGTTCGGTTCCAAACCCTCCGTGATCAATAAGTAATATGCGAATACTGATTCTCAAAAGTTTTCCCATAATCGTCTTGGTGGGTGACCCCATCCGTACCTTCGGGGACCTAATGAAGGGCTCTTGATAAAAATACATACTATTCGAGAACTCATAACCTCTGGGAATATTGCAAGTCATAGTTCGTGCCTATCTTACCCCGGTAAATGGTTGGCCATTGTAGTCCAAGACTTAACCAATATACCCATTCTTTTGTGTGGTACGTGGTTAGGAGAAGGTGCCGAAATTCTCGATCTATTTTGTTAAATGGAATGGTCATTGAAATACAGTAACTCTCCCATTTTTCGTCCCAGTTGTCAAGCATGTACTCTTATGGGCCGCAATTGGATGCCTCATAACAAACCGTATATCCCATTTCGAAGATAACCTTTGATTTGAGCGCAAGCCTCCTCGAACCAGTCTTTATAGCTTCACTTGATTGAGCTCCATTGGTTGAACTTTAGTCGTTCCCCTCTTCACAGGCAAGAGATAGGGGGGACTGCAGTCACGATTCTTCGAGTGTGGTTTCATCCAAATGATAGTCCTCGTATGCTCCTTTTGGACCGTAGATACCTCTGGTCTACTCGATGCTTAATATTCCTCGCACAGGTTCAACTGAGACTTATATTGATTTATCTCTTCATTGCGCGCATCAATTACTAAATGCTATATTTCCTTGTTGACAAGCTCAGACTCAAAGTATTCTCTCTCCTCTCTTCCTAACGTCCCTTACAAAACCTTGGTATCGGATATCTTTCCTGTGCTCATCTTCTTTTATTGTAATGCTGAACTCGGCTTAGTGATAGGATAGTCCTGAGTGGTAGCACTCTAAGAAGAGGGTACGGACATATTTTAGCGCTTTCGAGTTACAAATGTCACTACTCATACTCTCATAGGATTAATCTACTCCCTGATATACACATCATTCCACATGCAGCTATGCAGAATTGTGATATGAGTCACAGAATTCGACTTCAACTTTATAGTGCAATATCGAGAATATATTGGAGATTTTTGGGAAAGATGGTGTTAGTGGATGCTGACTGTGTAATGTGGATAACATACCCTTTTTACCTAAGTCAAGTTCAAAAACCATTTTGTGGGTATCCGAATTTTGATATTATTTGTAATGATGATGATTACCCAGTTCTTAAAATCTCTAATGATGATTATATCATTAAAGATATTTATTACAACAATCAGTCTTTTCTTGTGGCTAGTGCTAGTGTCTATAAGGAAGAAGGGGAGGACTCATGTCCAATTCCTTTACATAATTTGACTCTTGATAGAACTCCTTTTAATATCAGTCCTGATTATATTGATTTTTCTTTCTTGTATAATTGTACTTTGAAGCCAACAAAGTTCCTTTCCTACTCGATAACTTGTGCTACTAATGCTTCTTTTTTATTCTTTCGCCGCTTTTCATGTTCAAGAATTAGAGTTGTACTATAACTATTCTTTAGAGTCATGTCATTACTTAGTTAACTCTCCTTTACATCCTACTGGTGATTTTGATAATAGTATATTCCAAAAGAATTATACTGAGATTTTGAAGATGGGGTTCATGTTGAATTGGACTATACATAATTGCAGTAGTTGTGAAAGAAGTGGTGGTCGCTGTGGATTTGAGAATAACGAATTTGTTTGTTTTTGCCGTGACCGGCCTCATCAAAATTCATGTTATGGTGGTAACTTCAATTTCTCAGCTTATAATGTTCATTACTGATTTTACATTAGCCATATCTAGGTCAGCTTGTAATTTTGTAGATTTTGTTCATTATTATTATTATTATTATTTTTTTGGCTCTTCAAATAAAATCAGCCGCATAACATTTTTGTTTGTTAAATTCGCTCTGGATGAGGTTCAAACTTGTAACCCAGAGATGACTTTAGTACCATTAAGTTGAAACTCATTGATAGTGCATAATTTTTATAAGAGCATGTATAGATGGTTAGAATCTAACCAGGTGTAACTGAATTAAAACTATAAAAGTGGATCATGGTATAATAAATTGCAGAGTATATAAGTTCACATAATTAATTTTTTACGTTAAAAGAATTAGTTGAGTCGTGATTAGAGTCTAACCATGCATATTTTCTCTTTTTATAAATGCAATTTATTTGATACATAAATTGCATCATATGGTTAGAAACATATTCTGCAATTTTCTAGTCAACAATCCTTAGTCAAGTTACTCCATCCTATGTTTGGTAGGCTCGTTGCTGCATACTGCACTTGATCTATTATTTCTTTGTCACTTGACCTCTTCAAAGACTACAGCTTGTCACTCTCAATTGTTATTGCACTAACCATAGATTCAAAAAGTGAAGTTGTGACTTTGTGCTGAAGAATTTATTTCATTTGAATAGTTAAAACGTCATCCTATTCAAGCATATTGTCTTTTCCAACCATAAATTGCATTTGGTCATTTCCTAATGTGTTGAATGTTTCACGATTTTATCAAGTGGGAATTTATTTTATTTTTATTAAAAGTTAAATTTTTTTTAGGGAAATTAGAAGTGACATTTTGAATCCTGCAACATTTCCTGTTGAATCTTTTACTATATACTCATTTTGTGAGTATTGAAGAGAGGGAAGCCTGTATCTGTTGTCAAATTATATATGTACTTACGTACCATATTATGCATTAGTGTGCCTTTTACCATATACTCCTGTTTTGACTTGCTAGCAATAAATATTACTCCTTTCGTTCATAAATACTTATCATATTTGGATATTTCACATCCCTTAAAAAAATCATTCAATTTTTCTTAGTTACAGTAAATTATTGAGTGAATCGACTATACTACTCTTAATTTACAATATACAAAGGGTTAAAAATATTTATTATTTGTTAAATACAAAGGGCAAAGAGGGAAAAAATAATTTATTATTTGTTAAATCAACAAATGTAACAACTATTTGAAAACATAGTATTTTCTCAAATGTGACACTTATTTGGAAACGGAAAGATTAATTTAAAACAGAATACTAGCAACATGAGAGCAGCAATAAGCCAATTCAAAACATATACATAAATTTTTCATGATCCTTAAAAAAAACCTATAAAGTTTAATTTTTTACTTTGTTTTAGTTTTGTAAATGTTCTAACACCTCTGCTTATTCTTCAATCGCAGATAGTTCAAAGGTGGGACTAAAAGTCGGTATTGGTATTGGTAAGCTGCTCCCCCTTCATCTTAATTTCTCAGTTCCTGGATGCAATTTGTTACCTTATCGTGTCTAAATGGCAAAGAAATAAATTTCTTGCGTACTAAAATGTCAGTGCGAATGTTTATTGCTTCATATCTATGATTCTTTTCTCAACCATTTTCAAAATAAATGCTTGCTAGGGTGACTTCAAGTAAATTGAAGTCACCTAAAATTACGAAAAGCAGTCACTTGTATAGAATGGTGAAAAATTTTTATATAACAGCGATAAAAATATATCTTATTTTGTAATCGGCTGCCTTAAAAAAAAAAAAAAACAGTCAATTTTTATAAAAGGATGATTTCTTTTACAAAATCTTTAAAAAAAAAAGTACATCTTACTTTATAACTCAACAACTTTTAAAGAAAAATATTCACTTTTTTATATTTTATTTGACCATATTTGAAATGTACCTTTCATGATTCAATCATTTTCTTAATTTTTTGTAAAAAAAAAAAAATTAAGGATTGGAAGGAGTAATATATACCAAGTTTCTATTCTATTATATTGATTTTCCTATATGATCATCTCCCGTTGCAGTGGCAGTCGTTGTGGTACTTGGAATTTTAGTCACTTGCGGTAGCCTCATTTATCGTTGGAAAAAGATTCCAACGGTTTTCCTACGGAATATTAACCAAGATTTTGAGGCCTTTCTAGAAATTCCAACGGTTTTCCGACGGAATAATAACCAAGAGTTTGAGGCCTTTCTAGAAAATCATGGGCCTCCATCTGTGAAAAGATACAGCTTCTCAGAAGTGAAGAAAATGACCAATTTTTTCAAAGATAAACTTGGCCAAGGAGGCTGTGGAATTGTGTACAAGGGCAAGCTAAAAGACGGACATTTTGTAGCGGCAAAGGTCTTGAATGCTTCTAAAGGAGAAGGAGAAGAATTCATCAATGAAGTTGCAGCCATTAGTAGAACTTCTCATATTAATATTGTCACTCTTTTAGGGTTTTGCCTCGAGGGTCAAAAACGAGCTTTAATTTATGAATTCATGTCTAATGGGTCTCTTGAAAATTTCATATGCTCGCAAGGTATTTTGAAGACTGATAATCATTTAGGATGGGAAATTATGCTCGAAATTGCAATTGGAATAGCTCGAGGATATTGGTAGCCCTTGTCAGGTCCCGTCTCTGTAGAGGGTGACTTCTTCCTTGGGATTTCCTGTGGGTGTAGTCCCACTTTTGCCTCGGCTAATTAGAGGCTCTATCCTGTTATCGTCCTTAAGGCGCGCACTACAGAAAGGTAATCACTTTTACCAAACGAGTGTTTATATCGTCTAAACAGGGTGAAATGTGGCTCTAACCCAAGATTTTCGGAGGTCAGCCTCTGCTCTTTCAATATTGAGAAAATTAGCAAAACAGGAGTTTTTCGAGGTGGCTGAAATGTCTTCTACGGAGGCTCGACGATTAATATAAACCCAATATGACGTGTGTGGGACCCTTTTCCTCAGAAGAATGACTTAGGACCTCCAGTGCTTGGTGAAAAGATACGCTAGGGCTCAAGGGCTTCTTTCAGGAAGTTAAGAGACAGCGCTAGTGGCCGCCGCTATTCATTTTTAGAAAGGATTATCAACTTGGCCAAGGAGGCTGGTGGAATGGTTACAAGGGCAGAGCCATGCTGAAAAAGCCTAGAGATCATGTGTTTAAGAGCTAAAAGCAGGCCAACAAGTACACTTAGGAGACATGTCTCCTACTAATAAACGCAGGAATGGAGAGTGAGCGATGCAATTTCACGAATGTACATAGTTGCAGTCACAATTAGTTAGGACTCTTTTCATGAATTTTATTTTGTCCAGCGCCTCGTTTTAATTAGACAGGGCAATTGTTTCGCCTATACCACGGTGGGTCATATGATGAAAGCAGAGCCTTTAAACTTTTTACTGTATGTTCATGGGCTATGAGAATGTGGATTGGCTACTCCTTGACTCCTATGAAAGCATAGATAGTGACATCTGGCTTGCCTCTCATAACGGTAAATATTGAAGCAAACGAGAAGGAACTGGACTTCATATACTATCATATTATGCGCGCGGACTAAAGTATCTGGAAGAGTTGTATAGCCTTATCGGACAGGTCTCGTCTGCTGCAATGGATGGATATGATAGCGCAAAGACGGGAATAGCGGTAGTACAGTGACTAGGTCGGGAATGTGTGATTCACCAAACGTCACCCTTGTTCGGCAATTGTGAGAACTTGAAGAAAGACGGATTTTACAGCCGTTTTCCTTTAGAAAATACATCTAGGTAACAGATCCTTGATGGAAATTTTTTTGCCCCAAAAGGAACATAAGATTTTTAACAAAGGACGTTTTATGTTGGTCTACCATGCCTCTGGTTCACCACACATACACCTCCTACAAAAAAAGATGGGTAAGATTTAGGATGATTATGCCTTTCCCACATTGTGTCAACTATGGGTATTCCTCATTAGAGAGAGTAGTCCTATCTATCTCTCGAGGAGAGTGACCTTATAGCATCCAGGAGGAAGCGTTTGCATCTCTCCAAAGCCCAGATGAAACATTGGTTCGTGCGCGAGGTTCGTTACCACAGTCTGAATGTTAATGGACGCATATGGAATGCTCGTGGTTCTTCACCTGAACTGGAAAATTGGGAGGGGGAGAAGAAGCACGAGAAAGTAAGGAAGAAGCAGAAAGTATTTTCACTTTAAGACAGCAATTTAGGTTTGGTCTGGGAAGGCAAAAATTTCAGATTTTGGACTCGCAAAACTATACACCAAAAAAGAAAGTATACTATCAATGTTAGAGACTAGAGGAACTATTGGGTATATAGCACCGGAGGTTTTCAGCAGAAACTTTGGTGGAGTTTCGTACAAGTCTGATGTTTATAGCTATGGAATGCTGGTCTTAGAAACGGTTGGAGGGAGAGAGAAAGATGAGGTCGGGACAAATGATAGTAGCAATGAGAAATATTTTCCATACTGGATTTATAAGCGAATTGAGTTGGGAAATGAAAGCAAATTGTATGGAGAGATTTCTACAGAAGAGAAAGAAATTGTTAGGAAAATGACATTGGTTGGTTTGTGGTGCATACAGACAAATCCATCTGATAGGCCATCAATGAGTAAGGTTATAGAAATGTTAGAAGGAAGCACAGAATCCCTTAAAATCCCACCAATGCCTTTACTCTTTTCTACTCCAGAATCTCCTCCACTCTGTTCATTCACTACATCAACAGCCTGATATTGTTATGCATTTTATTTATGTTTTCTTTGGGTTGAATAAATATACAAACTTAAACTGACAAAAACACAGCTTGAAATATACAAAACTCATTTTATTTATCGTTCATTAATTATTTAATTAGTAGTTATCACATTAAACTTTGGTTATAAATATTAGATAGTTACATCAAATTAAACGTTGGTTATAAATTGCCCCACCCAAAGCCATGATATGAGAGCAATCAATCCAAGGGGCGTGAGGGGCGGAGTTAAATTACGAAAAGGCAGATATGACTCATAATAACTTATAATGGACTTGCGGTATCCGATCTCTGCATTCACCATTGTTGTGGACACAAGTAAAGCAAGGTTCACGAGGGAGAGTGAAAAAGGTGGTGAATCCACCTTAAAACCCGGCTAAATAGTTGCAGGACCATCAATCCTGAACAAAGCAAATCTTTGAAGTCTTCTTAATAAGCAAAGTTGATCAATCCACCACACAGCTGTCGAGAATCGCCAAACTGAATGGAAGATAGGCACTTACCTCATCGCTGTTTGTAGCCTTTGGCAAGCCTTCGCAATATCATAACTCTGATAGAAAAGAGCCAAACAGTCTTCCACTATTCAGGAGATCAATGGTAGAAGTGCGAAAATGACGAATGGAACTTTCGAATAATACGCTAATAATATTTGACAGGGAAAAGAACCCAAAACTTCCCCAATCTGGACTTTGCCTTTGACTGGCTATTTGGAATATTTAAGAACTGGAGGATATTTTTGGCCAAGCCTTCTGCAAATCTATCTGGCTTGAAAAGGCAAACATCTTCTCCCCATATTTCAGGATCATGGTGAAGTGCAATGACAGGAATTTCGATTATTATATTTGCAGGAAGAACCAACTTCCCCAATCTGACTTGCCTTTGGACTGCTTTTGGAATATTAAGAACTGGAGGATATAGCCGGAGAGCTTCATTGATAATCATGCTCACCTATAATGACAAAGGAGGACTAATAAATTGAATCTTAAAGCTTCTTGTACCGGGACAAAGAGCATATGTAGTCATAATTGGGTCATCTTGGAAATGAAACGAGAATGGAAGTAGAATCGTTTGGCTATATTAAGAACAATACTTAGAAATAGATATCATTTCAATATAAATTCAAGTTATTCAAATATTAAAAAACCAAAAAATTTTAGATTCTTTGTGAACCAAAAAAAAAAAAAAATGGAAGAAACCTATTTCAAGCATTGCATTCATTTCCAGTTTCAGAGCAAACGAAAAATGGCTTGTAGGCTTGAGGATATAAAAGCATAAGCTTGTAAGCGATAGCATGAACAAGTTTTAAGATTTCCAACACTTACAATTTTCATTTTTGAGAGTGTATCTGAGCTCGGATTTTGCTGGCCGAATAATTCAAGGACCTCCTTCCTGGCTTTATCTTGCCAATCTGTGTGAATACCTAGAAGAAAAGTGGTCCAGGTAAGTGAGGTTGCAGTTGTTTCATGTCCAACAACATAAAAGGTTTTACACTCATCAATCATTTCCTCAACCGATATTCTATTCGTCTTATCAGAATCATTATTATCATGATGTGCCTTTAACAGTAGTCCAAGAAAATCAGTCCCAAAGCCATTTGATTACTGATCATTGCTGCTTCTTCTCTTTTCTTTATCATATTCATAATGGAATTTTGTATCACGTGATCTATCTTTTCTGATTCAATATCATCCCTGGTTTTTACAAGATTTCTGGAACACAAGAAAATGAAATATATAAATATATCAAGAAATTAAAAGGCATACATAGAACCAACCCAATAAATTCAGGAACTAGTATATAGCAGAGGCAAGCATCGTACCTAATTCCAGGAACGATATCTGTTTCTACCAATAATGAGAGTCAACTGGTTTATCATGTCAAATATACGCTGCCCTTCCAAGTAGCTGCTTCCAAAAGCAGTCCTGGAAATGATTTCTGAAGCTAAGACTTTGAATTCTTGGAACACTTCAATTTCCTTTCCTCCATTATGTCTCCATTTTTCAAGCATCATTTCCACACTTGTTATCATGGCAGGAATCATACTCTGCAAAAGAAACCCATTCACACATATATAGCTCGTATTTCTACGAGAACTTGAAAATTTTGTCTGTTATAAGTGAAAAATTGATTATTTACTTTGAGGCACTCTGCATGAAAAGCATGATTAGATAATCTACGAAGCTTAAGCCACTTTTCTGGTATCCTAGTAGTTCCAATTCCTTCTCCTATTAGCTTCTTGGTGTAATCATCGGGTTCGGGTTTGGGAAATGCTCCATCCCTATTGTTAAATATCTCCTTAATAAGTTCATCAGGTTCTGAGAATACCCAGTAAGCTTGAGGACCTTGCCATTGTTAAAGTTACAGCTACAGCTCTATTGAAGTAAAATTGATGCAAATGTTGTTGACAGTTTTTGGAGAAATTTTGTTAAAGTCATTTAGATTTTGTTGTATTTTGTTGAAGTCAAGAAGTAGTTGAACTACCTTGTTTTTAGAAGTCAACGAAGTAGTTGAACTACCTTGTTTTTAGATAAGTTTGGCTTGAACAAAACTTCCTTTGACTTATTAGAAGGTTGGTGAAACAAACTTTAGGAATAACTTAGTATATATGTTTACCATTATGCTGTAATGGAATAATGAGATGTGACTATTTGTTTTCATAATGAGATGTGAATATTTGTTTCTCCACACTTACAAAATCTGCAGATTTTTCCTTCTCTGCAGAATTTTCCTTCTCTTTCTTATTTTTCTACTCTTTTAAACCATCAAGTGGTATCAGATCAACCTTGATCTCAAAGGGTTGTGTGTGTGTTT